TGTGTGTGTGTGTGTGTGTGTGTGTGTGTGTGTGTCTGTGTGTGTGTGTGTGCGTGTGTGTGTGTGTTTCTGTGTCTGTGTGTGTCTGTGTGTCATTGCCTGTCTGCGTATGTGCTTCTTTGTTGATTGGCATTGACTTGCCTTCCTGCACGCCTGCCTGTGTCTGTGTAGGTGCTTGTTCATCCTTGAAAGCAAACGGTTGCATATATGCTGCTTACCCTTTTTTCTGCTTCCTTGCTACTAGCTCCAAGCTTCTCCGCCATGTGTGTGTGTGTGTGTGTGTGTGTGTTCAGTCGTGTCGGAGGTGAAGAATGCGTTTCACATCATCCCATCGCCCTTGCTTGCTTGCTTGCTTGCTTGCACGTGTCTTTCCTGTTCCTTGTTCTGCTCTACCTTTTGTTGTACATAAACGCCATTGTGATAGAAGCTGGTGACATGACTCGCATCATGTCCACTCGTCAAGCACATGCGCTCGAGACTTGGATGGAGTTTGCACACACACGCGCACACACGCACACACACACACACACAACATCACTTCAACTCTGCAATATATCGTTTAATCGTAACGCAACCTGAAGAGTGGTAGTAGGGATTAGGGGCGTTTGCGTGGGTGGAATGAGCATCATCATCATCATCGTCGTCGTTGGCAAGACTGGTTATGAGCAGTGCTGCTGCAGAACACTCGTGAGCTCCTCCTGGGAAATGACAACACTCGAGAACAGCTATGGCACACAACAGGTGGTTGACGACGGCGTGGCGTGAGACGCGAAGGAAAAGAAGCAGGAGGCGGGTAGTGTGAGCTGTGGTATCGTTCATGGTGCACGCAGCGACTGCATTCCACACACACACACACACACACACACTCAAACACATCACACACACTCAAACACATCACACACACATCACACACACTCAAACACATCACAAACACATCACATGCGTCGCACCCGCTTTCTGTCTTTGACGACGAGGAAGGTGGGCAGGGCGTTGACACGATAACGGTCAGCCAGCTCATCCACCTCGTCCACGTCCACCTGCAGGAAGATGCCTGGGAGCTTGGCGGCGAGCTGCTGGTAGTGCGGCTGAATTGCCTTGCAGGGCTTGCACCAGACAGCCGTAAACTTGACGACGAGTGGCCAGCCTGCGCACCGTGCACACGCCATCAACGTGTGAGCAGATGGACTCCGTCACACAACACCTGCGCATGACACGAATGCCACTCCAAAACTATCGCCAACGCACCACACCCTCAACACCACACCCTCAACACAAATGACCACACCGCCACATTTAGCAAAGCAGCAGCGCCCTCCCTTCCTCCTCCTCCTCCTCCTCCTCCTCCTTTCTCTTATCCTTTCTCTTCTCCTTTCTCTTCTCTTCCGCTTGCATGTGCAGGGCATGATATGACATCACCTTTGTCCGTGGCTTCCCGCATCAGGTCCTGAAAGTGTTTGACACTCTCCACTTGCACCACCGCCTTGAACTTGTCTGGTTTCCTGGCACGCAGGCCGTCTGTGTCTGACGCTGCCTTTGATGCCGCCTCCTCGGTGGCATCGCCGCTGCTGGCCTCAATCGCAGTCTTCCTGGTGCCCTTGTCGTCCTTGTCGCTGTGGAGGACGTTGCTTGTAGTCTCCTTCTGCTCCTCTGCCGGTGTCTCCGGTGCTGCCGCAGTCTCAATCCCGAGCCTGCACGCGCGCACACAAAGCAAAGAGGAAAGGCGTAGGCATCAACGCGTTGGTGGCTGGGCAATGAACGGCAGCGCACTGCACACGCACATGCGGGAGACGTTGTCGCACGCACACGCATACGCACACAAGCATACGCACACAAGCACGCGCACACGCACACGCACACAAGCATACGCACACAAGCACGCGCACACGCACGCGCACACGCACGCACCACACGCACATGCACACACACACAAACACACGCACACGCACACGCACACGCACACGCACACGCACACGCACACGCACACACACACGCACACGCACACACACACGCACACAAACACGCACACGCACACAAACACGCACATGCACATGCACATGCACACGCACACGCACACGCACACACACAAACACGCACTCTCTCTCACACAATCACGAACACACACAAACACGCACACACGCACACACGCACATTTACACCACAGTCATGATTTGTTTTGCCTCACCAAGACTTGATCTTTGCCCATGCCTTTGAGAGCAGAACCAAGAGGAAGGGGAACAGGCCCCAAAGCGGGATGCACACGGGCCCAATGCAGATGATCATCGTCGCTGTCGCAGGCAGAGGGTTGAGGGTGAGTGTGTGTCGTCGCCCGCAACGTCCGCCTTCAGCAACTCATAAAAAAAAGTAACCCTGCTGAAGTTTCAATTCGATGCGCTCTTAACTCATTCGTTTATTTGAAGATATGGCGAATAATCTCCGTGGCAACTTTTTCATACACACAAGCCCCCCACCCTTCTTCCCTTCCCTCATCATACAAACACAACACACAACAACACAACAACCACAACAACAGCCCACCATACAGACCGACCAACCCCACAAACAACAAGACACCACGCGCAGCCAACGCTTCTTTCAGACCATCCCACAGCGCATCTGCGTGGTTCGCTGTGCACTTGATAAGCTAACTTCCTGAACTTTGCTTTCTGACCTTCTGGATCGACTCAAACGCTTCGTGCCTGTGCTACGAGGCTGTTGATCCGCTGCTCCGACAAACTCTTGACCTTCCCTCCACTCGCATATATTTTTGAATTGAGGAGGTTGTTTGACGTGCCATTGACAACCGGCACAGAAGAAAGGCAACGCACGTTCTCTGCACGGAACTTCATTCTGACAATACATACAACTACAGCGTGACACGTTGCTGCTCCACAGGCGCGGCTCCCCCACCATGAGCGCCCGCGCCGTGGCGGCACTGCCATGGCTGCCATGCGCACTAGCAACGGTGGTTATGATCCTTGCTTCCCTCAACGTCCTCGTCGCAGGTGCGATGACACGTTGGCGTGTTGGTGCGCAAGTGTGAGTGAGCTGCTGCACGCGTTCATGTGTTTGTGTGCTGTCGCTTTGAGTTCGCGAGTGTGTGCGTGTGTGTGTGTGTTTGTGTTTGTGTTTGTGTGTGTGTGTGTGTGTGTGTGCCTGCGTGTTTACTGAGACACACAACACGCAAACATACAAAACACCCAAAGCACAAACACACACACACATGCACGCAAGCACGCAGGCACTCACACACACGCACATACGCGCATTCACCCCACAGGTCAATCGAGCTTCACGTTGAGACAGCTGAGCTCCGACTTGCCACGTGAGGGCGACCTGCTTGAGTTTGAGGTGGCCTTTTCCGGGCCGCCTCCCGTGGATGTCGAGATTCGCATCGCAGGGACCAACACCACGCAGGTGGCTGATGCGGAGCTGTTCATTAACAGCACCAACTGGAACACGACATCGCACCGCTTCCTTGCGGGTCCATCCGCCAACAACTTCATTCAGGTCTCGCCCTACAGCATCCCGCTCGTCCTGCAGGTCACCACGCCATCCTTCGTCTCCGACATGGTCGTGGACATGGTCGCCCTCGATAACAATACAGGTCAGCGAGGGAGTGCAGGAGAGTAAAGGGGGAAGTGTGGGCAGGAAGGCAATGCTCCGTCTGCACATGAGAGTGCCTGCAGGTTGTGTTTTTGCTGAGGATAACGCTGGGGCAAACTCACAACCTGCACACGCACATCCACACATATGCATCCACACACACACACACACATTCATACATCCATCCACACACACACACATACATACATCCACACATAAACACACACATACACACATCTCCACGCACATACACACATACATCCACACATACATCCACACACATCCACACGCACGCATGCAGCGGACGTGTTGCGTGAGCTGGATTCAAGTCGGCCATATCCGCAAGGGGCAGTGCCCGAGGGCACATATGTGGAGTATCTCTTGACCCTGGCCAGCATCCCAACACACCCTGTCGTCGTGGACTTGGTGGTGGACGCGGGCCTGGTGTCGCTCACGCCACAGCGGGTTGCCTTTGAGCCCACCACGTGGAATGTGCCGCAGGTTGTGCGCGTCGCGGTCCCCGACAACGACGTGTATGCGGCGGCTGCCGTGAGCACAGACACTGTGGAGTTCCACGTGTCGAGCAACGACACCAACTTTGACGCCTCCGACCAGCAAAATCTCAACATCACCGTTGCCGACGACGAAGCAGGTGGATCCTTGCACGTGTGTCTGATGTGTAATTGATGATGGTGTGTGTGTGTGTGTGCGTGCGTGTGCGTGTGTGTGTGTGTGTGTGTGTGTGTGTGTGTGTGTGTGTGTGTGTGTGTGTGTGTGTGTGTGTGAAAACGTGTAGAGCCACTTGTTGTGTGTGAACAAGACACACCGGTGCTGCAGGCGTTCAGTGTTGTTTGTGGTTCGCGACACACACCCGCTCACTCACATTCACACACACACACATTCACACACACTCACACATCTCCCATACCCTCCCCTCCCCCCACCCACACACACACACCACAGGCCCGTCCATCAGCTTTGCGTCGCTGCGATGGGAGGCGGTGCCGTACCCGCACGGATTTGTGGTCCGCTTCGATGTGGACATTGCGGCTGCTGGCCACGACGCCCGCACGCCACGCACGCTCCACTTTGGCGACGGCAACTCGGCCCAACTCCCCTCGGACCCCATCTACCTCACAGACGCCTTCAACCAGACCATTGTGCGCTACACGATGTATCACACATACGCACGCGGTGTCGACCGCTCCCAGCGCGCGTGGGTCGAGGTGTGCTGCGTGGCAAAATTCGTGTCCACCACCATCGACGCGCCTCTCACGCTGCAGGCAGATGTGCAGCTGAACCTGCTGCAAAACACGTCCAGTCCCTTTGTGCCAGCTGTCACCGCTTGGCAGTACCACGCACGCCCGCTCGCCATCAACGCCACCACACATGTGGCAGACGACACGTACGTGCCGGTCACCCACGTGCGTGGTTGGGCCTCACCTTATGCCGCGCCGCTCCGCTACGCCATCGCCAACAGCGCTGTTGGCGGCACCGTGCACGGCGTGCCGGCGTGGATCACCATTGACCCATACATGGGCGTTGTCATTGTCGATCCCGCAGCCGCCTACCCGGGCCAGTTCCTCGTCCCCGTGCGCGTGTCAAACGTGCTAACGGACGCTTCCTCAACCTACACATTTGTGTTGGACGTGCCAGCGTCTGCCACCACCATCGCCACCGATTCCGCAGCAGCAACAGCAGCAGCAGCACTCGCCACTACATCCCCGCTCGACGCGGCAGCATGGCTCTCGCGCATGGACCAGGGCTACACGGATGACGTGGACGCTGCCGTTGCGGATCTCGTGTCCGCCATTGGTACAGGCGCGCACGAGGACTTTGCACGTGGCGACTCGCCACTGCGCTGTGTCACAGATGTGCAGGACTTTGTGTCGGCCTGTGTGGTGCAGACGGCGTTTGGCGGCAGCGCCACTGTTGAGGCCATGGCCACCGCCCTCGGCAACGCCACCACATACACGCTGCACACCCCTGGTGCAGTCGCACCGTTGCTTGCAAGCACGGCCGGCGCCGACGGCACATACCTCCCCGCGCTTCCCTCCATTGCGGATTCCGCGCAGGCCTCAGCCACACCGCCGGGCGCCCCTGCCCTGTATGCGCTGGCGTGGGTGGTTGGCGTTCAGGACGGCGCCAACGAGACGCTTGCCCTCATTCCCGAGGACACGCACGTGGCCGTTGGCTCGGGCCAGGATGTGCTGGCTGACGTCGCGGCGCTCGGCAGCGACGGCATTGACGTGCAGCACCTCACGCACACCAGCCTGCTCGTCACCCTCGATGCGCATGCCATTGGCACGGGCGCTGGCGACCTTCGCGCTGCGGCCGAGTCTCTTGTCGGCACGCTCACGTTGCGGCTGCAGTACACACACGCAGGCCTCAAGCCACGCGCAGGCACTCGCAACATCATGGTGGCTGTTGGCGACAGCACGGGGCTGGTAACCGTGCATGCAGGCAGTGTCGAGCCCGCGCCCACACCGGTTGCACCCGTGCTGGACCTGGACCCCACCGACCCGGCAAGTAGCGACTTTGCCACGGTGTACTACGATCAGCAGCACAGCACGAACATCTCCCTCACGGCGCAGCCAGACGGCATGGTTCTGCAGCAGCCGCGCGCCCCCATCGCCCGCGCCACTGTTGCCATCCACCCGGCCATGGACGCGCCATACGAGATGCTGTCCGCGCCATACGAAGCGCCGACAGCATCGTGGCCACCAGCCGTGTTCTCCTCCAGTGAGAGCCTGCACTTTGCACAGCAGGGGCTGTCCACCATCACCGTCCCGCATTCATCCGCAGCAGCGGCGCGCCCCGTAACCGACGTCGTCATCGCTGTGCACGTGTTGCATGGGCAGGTGGGCGACCTCACGCTTGCCCTGCACCGCCACGGCCGCCCCTACGTGCTTGCAGAGTACGTGGGTGGGCCGTCGTGCGACGCAGCCAATCTCCTCGCCACCACCTTCACCACAGACAGCGACATCCCCCTCTCCGGCCGTGCTGACGGCGCCGGCGCGTGTGTGCCTGGTGCGCAGGGCGTGTTTCGCCCCGCCCAGTCGCTCGCTGCGCTGCTTGGCGAGTATGCAGATGGGGAGTGGACGCTGTCTATTACAGATGCCGGCGTGGGTGCAGGCAGTGACACCACGCGGGGCCTTCTCCTCTCCTGGTCCATTGCATTCTACACCGACCTCAGCAGCCCCGCCACCGCTGGCGCCACCAGCAGCAGCAACAGCCATGGTGCCGTGGGTGCCCTGCCTACTGGCGCTGCTGTGCCGTTTGCTTCGCCCGTATATCGCTCCTCAACACCTGTGCCGCGCCTTGGCGCACTCGCAGCACCACGCACGCTGCCCTGGCACGAGGCATACAGCAACAGCAACAGCAGCAGTGACAGCATCACTGCGCGTGACACCATCACCATTGATGATGTGCAAGGCCGTGTGCGTAGTGTCGTGGTGGAGGCGCACCTTGCATATCCGCCCACTTTTGTCGGCAGCAACGCCACAGTGACCCTGTCGCTGCAGCACGGGGACGACAACGTCACCCTCATGCAGTACAACAGACAGGAGGCCATTGCCGCGTTGCTTGCAGGCAATGCGGCTGCACCCTCTGAACGCTGCGTGCCTGAAGGGTTCTTCGCGTTTGCGGACGATGCTTCTTTGTACGGCGACGCAGCGGCGTCCTCCTTTGCCATGGCCGACCTGTGTGCCGCGGTCGCCGGCGTGGACGCGCCCCCACTTCGCCTCGGTGCACCAGCCGAGGCCCTGGCTGCGTTTGCCGGGTCGCGCGTGACGGGCGAGTGGACGCTTGTGCTGGAGGCGGACGGCAGCCCCGTGGCTGTGGGCGGCTGGGCGGTGCGCTTTTCGCTCGAGCCCAACGTCGACACGGCCTTCAACGCCACCACGGGCGTGCTTGAGCTGTGGGGTGTGGACTCGCCAGACAACTACCGCGCTGTGCTGGACAGCATCGTGTACTCGAACGATGCCCCCACCACGGAGCCGGAGCCCCTTCGCAACATCACGTTCACCGTGGTGGACGATCTTGGCACGGAGGCGACCGCGAGCGCGCTCGTTGCCATCCACCACCTCCTCAGCATCGAATTGCTCCCAATTGACGAGGATGATACGACATCGCAGGGCAAGCTCAACCGCGTGTCAACCATGCTTGCCCTCACCACCCCGCCCAACGCAGACGCCAACGACAACTGGCCGGAGCGCGCAGGGTACGGCGTTGTCATCACCATGGTGGACAACAGCAACGGCGACTGGCAGTACTCCCTGGACGGCGGCCACACCTTCCTCAGCATCGGCAACGTGTCGCGCACGGACGGCCTGCTGCTGCCCGGCAGCGACGTCGGCGACGGCGTGGTTGACGTTGGCCTCGCAGAGCCCTGGAACACCACCATTCTCGCTGCTGGTAGCGACCACGCGTATGAAGGCCTGGTGCGGTTCGTACCAAGCAAGGACTTCCACGGCACGGCAAGGATTGGCTTTTCGATGTGGAACACAGACGCACTGGCACTGCCTGCAGGCACGCGGACGGATACGAGCAAGCACCCGGTCAGCCTGCACAACGCATCGGCCATTGCCACGCTGGAGGTGCTGCCGGTGAACGATCAGCCAATTCTCACTGCGAACGGCGTCCTCGAAACCATTGTTGAAGATGACGTGGACAACACGGGCACGCTGGTTGCAGACGTTGTTGCTGGCATCTTCTTTGACATGGACACGCTTTCGCCTGTTGCCGACACTTTCTCTGATGAGATGGGTCTCGCCATCACGGGCGTGGACCGCAGAAACGGCGACTGGCTCTGGTCCTGCGCCAACGAAGAGGCATACTACGACGCCTTGCTTGCAAACACCGCCAACGGCACCGCCAACAGCACCGTGTCGACGACAGCGGCGTTCCTGAACGGCACGGCGCTCTCCGCAACGTTTGTTCCCTTCATTGGTGGCATTCTGCCCAACAACGACACGTGGCCACCAAACCCGACGCCCGCCATGGCCACCGTGCTTGGGCCCGGTTGCCGCATCAAGTTCAGCCCCAGCGAGGACTTCAACACGCAGCTGACAACCGCGGGCGAGCCCTGGTCCGATGCGTCCGCCATTCGCCCCTGGATCCGCGCCCTGCCATGGGACATGACAGACGATATCGCGTCTGGCACGTTTAGCGTGGACACGCGGGCAGGCCGCACGGATGTCACGTCCCCGTTTGGCAGCACGCCCCGCTTCTTGTACATCAACGTGACGGAGGTGAACGACGCACCGCAGCTGCGCATGGGCGGGCCTGGCGACAATTATTCAACCGTCTATGTTGAAGGCCACGGCCCCATCAGCATTGCTGGACCGGCATTTGTGGTGGCGGACCCAGACAACGCCGCACTGGCAAGCGCCACGCTGCAGCTGTCTGGCGTCGCAGATACGCTGGAGTACGAGCATATTGTGTTCAACACGACGCAGCTGGACATTGCTGGTGAGGGCAACTACACCCTCACGTACGACGCAACCGCTGTTGTGAACGGCTCGGAGCTGCACGCTGCTCCCACGTCTGCGTCCATCCCCGTGCTGCTGCATCTGGACGATGCCGTGAGCGGTGCGCGCCTCACCGTGGAGGCTGCACCCCTCAACACCACAGCACACGACAGCTCCAGCAATGGCACCGCGGCCAGCAACACAACCGTGCCGTCCACGATGACCACTGGCATGGTGGTGCGCGTGTGGTGCGCGAGTGACGTGGCAACAGGCACAAAGTGCCCACTGTCTCTTTTCCGCGATGTCCTGCTTGCTGCGCAGTACGTGGACACGTTGGCTGAGCCAACAAACGGCACCCGAACCATCGAGGTGTCTGTGAGCGACGGCCTGGCAACCACGCGTGCCATGACCACGGTCATCGTCGTGCACACGCTTGAGAACGCGCCTGTGCTTGGTCTTGACGCGGCGCTTGGCACCACGACGTTTACAGAGCAGGGCGGCGCCGTCTCCCCGCTGGCAGCGCTCACACTCTTTGATGAGGATCACAACGAGTTCTATGGCATTGCAGCAGCAGAGGTTGGCCTGACGTCCTGGCAGGCTGGCCACGACACGCTTGCCGTGTCATCCAACGCGACGCAGCACACGCACGTGGCCGTCGCCTTCAACGCCACCACGGGTGTGCTGACGCTGACGGGCACTGCGAGCGTCGCTGCGTACCAGGCACTGTTGCAGGCGGTTCAGTTTGCCAACGACGAGGACGAGCCGCGTGGGTTTGAGCGCAGCATTGCGGTGCAGGTGACGGACACCGCCGGCCTCGTCAGCAACGTCGTTGTCGCCCGGTTGCCCATCCAGCTTGTCAACGACCACGCCCCTGTCATTGTCATGTCGGAGCCAGTGTACACTGTCGTGGAGGGCACTGATCACGTCCTCGCGCTCGGCGGCGACATTTCCCTGTCAGATGCAGACGTGCCTGCAAGCACGGCAGACAGGTATCCGCCCATCAGCCAGCACTTCCTGGCCAGCGCCACATTGACGCTGACACCCCTCGGCCAAGGGTCTGCGTATGCTGCCAGCTTTGCGAGCGCTTTCCCCGACGGCCGCCTCGTTGTCAACGCATCCCGCGCTGCGGCGTTTGCCACACCATACGCCAACGACAACACCAGCAACGACACCGAGGTCAGCGTCATTACCACGACGCACAGCGCGGGCGCATACAATGACACGGTGGTGGTGAATGCTGGCGGTGTTGCTGGTGCAAACCTCAGCGTGCGTGCGTATGCAGATGGCTCACTGTCATTGGTTGGCCCAGCACCCATTGAAGTGTTCGCTGGCGTGCTCGCTTCCCTGCAGTACGAGACGTGGGTGGAGGAGTTTGACAGCGCTGAGTTGAACGTGTCGCTGAGCGTGAGCGATGGCCTATTTGTCTCCACAGCTTCCACGCTACTTGTGCTGGAGCCAGTGAACGACGTGCCTGTGTTCTCGGGCGACGCGGCTGTCACACCAGCCCCGGTCTTTGTTGAAGGCAGCGCTACCCCAATGCGTGTATTCAACAACGCTTTTAGGGTTACCGACAACGACAACGCAACCCTTCCGCTCGCCACCATCACGCTTGCTCCCATCGACACCACACTTGCACCCACCAGCAGCAGCAGCGGCAGCAGCAGTGATGCGGATGTGGAAGTGCTCGTGGTGCCTGCGGATGTGTGGGCGGCCATCGCAAATGTCAGCATGCAAGGCAACTACAGCAACACCAACGGTAGTACCACTTTAACGTCGTCCAACAGCACCACCAATGGCACCTCAACATCCCTCAACAGCACGAGCACAACGAACAACACCACAAACACAGGCCTGCCTGTGCTCCGCGGTAACGGCACGGCTGTGCTTGAGGTTGCCAACATTGGACCGGCGGCGCTGACGCAGCTGCTGCACAGCATCGGATACAAGCACCTCGACGCCAACCCAGGCAACCCAACGCCTGGCATTCGCACCATCACGCTAGTGGTGACGGACGGACAGGCAACGACCAGCATTGGCATCAATGCCTCGTTGGAGGTTGTGGCTGTTGATCCTGTGAACGACGCGCCCTTCTTCATCACAGTTGGCAGTGTGAGGGACGTGGTGTTTGTTGAAGAAGCAGTACAGCCCGTGCCCGTGTTCACGGCGAACCGCAGTGTGATGGACGTGGACTCGGCAGACATGCACCGCTTCACGGCGGCCCTGACAGATGCAGAACAGGAGAGCGAGTTTGTGGTGCTGGGTGATGTGGCGACGACGTGGCAGCGCTATCTTCTCGAGTCGTGCGCGCGCCTGTGTCCATCCACAGATGCCGCTGCCTGGTATGCCAGCACGGGCCAGAACGTTCTGAGCACACCCACAGCCGCTGCAAGCACCACAAGCGCCTCGGGCAGTGGTGTGCTGCCGTTTTCAACTGACACAACCACCGCAACCACCAGCACAAGCAGCAGCACAGCCAGCACCGCCACCTTTGATGTGAACGGCACAAGCACAGCCACCAGCACGCAGTCAACAACCTCGGCTGCGACCACAAGCAGCAGCGGCAGTGGCAGCGGTCTTCTAGGCTTCAGCACAACCTCCATGTCATCAACCACCTCGTCAACATTTGGTGGCGACGCGAGCGCTGCCTGCCAGCAGCTCTGCGTTGCTGTCAACGCCACCTGGTTCGACTTCCCCATCCCCAGCGAAGCCTCTTCGACTGTGGCCAATCGGAAGGACAACGACTGCGGTGTCGTGCACGGCGATGTGGTGACGTTTTCCTTTGTGGACTGGATGGTGGGTGACCGTGACGCGGACGCCCTGCTTGCCAATGCCACGCAATACGCAACGGACACGCTCGCAGCTGTTCTGCCAGAGATGCAGCCAGCGCACCTGCACATCCCATGCGACACGCTGTGCGCCGATGCAGCTGTGGCAGACAGCAGCCTGTGCTACTACCGGTGCAGCCTGTACCGTGAGCTTGGCAAGCAGGTTGACGTGCTGGCCAACACAACAACGGAGCAGACGGTGGACGCGCTGTCCACCATTGCGTACTGGAACGTGGAGGACGAGATGCAGGGCTCCAGCAGACAGGTGGACATGCAAGTGGCTGACGACAACAGCATGTGGAGTAGCGTGCTTACCGTGCCCGTCACCCTCGTCCCTGTGAACGACGCACCGCGCCTGTACGTTGACGGCAACCGCAACAGCACCACGAATATCACACGGGCCATCACGTACACGGAGCGGGAACTTGGCACGCCCTTGTTTGCAAGCGGCGCAGGTGTTGTGCTGTTGGAGGACGATGACGACCAGCTCATCTCGGAGATTGCTGTGGAGCTGACCAACGCACCTGCCAACAGCAGGGAGGGTCTTTTCCTCAACGTGGACGCGCTTGCACCCGCATTTGTAGTTGAGTTCCAACTCTCAGCAGGTCCAACTGGCCCAACTACGAGTACGTCCAGCAGCACAACAAGTAGCAGTACTACCTCGACAAGCAGTAGCAGTACTTTCAATGGCACGCACTCCACGTCGACAAGCAGTAGCACCACCATGAATGGCACGCTTTCGACCACAAGCAGCAGCAGCAGCACTTTCAATGGCACGCACTCCACGTCGACAAGCAGCAGTACCACGGATGCCCCAACCACAGCCACAACGAGTACACCCATGACAATGTCCAGCGCAACCATTGTCATTCGCGACAACAGGACTGGCGCCGTGGCCATTGTCGTGGAGTCGTGGTCGCCCGTCACCGTGTACCCGGCGCTGACAGATTACGAGCGCGTGCAGGCGGAGCGAGGGGAGCTACACCCGGTGATTACTGCCGCCATCCCACTCGGCCACGCCTTGCACATGACGGTGAACAACGCCACGCTTGCGACTGCGCAGACCATCTTGCAGGCCATCTCCTACACGAACGTGGAGCAGTTGCTGGTGCAGCCGCAGGTGGAACGAATCGTGCGCGTGCATGTGCGCGACAGCTATGCAGCAGCAAGCAGCAACGTCACCGTGCGTGCATCGCTGATCTCTGTGAACAACGCGCCACTGCTCAACGCCACACGCCTCGTTGCGACGCAGGAGGAGGCTGAGGACGGTCCAGGCGTCACCTTTGACGTGCTACCGGCCTATGTGGACGCGGAGAGCAAGCCGTGGTTTGCACCGGAGCAGCGCATGCCCGGGTACGTCGAGGTGATGCAGTTGCCCGTGCACGGCAACCTGACCTTGGAAGCAGACAGCACGGTGCTGCGGTACGTGCCGGCGGCGGAGGACTATGGTGTGCGCCCGTTTGTGGTGCGCGCGTGCGACCCGCTCGGCCTGTGCTCGGAAAACGTGACGCTGACGGTGGTGGTGCAGTCGATTAACGACGCGCCCGCCCAGCGCAGCGACGTGCTGCGGTACGACGTGGTGGAGGACACGGTGACGGATATCCCGCTTGACCTGTTTTACATTGACGTGGAGGAGTATCACCTGGAGCCGTTCCACGCGGACATTGACGGTGCAGGGGCCATGCAGGTCACGCTGCTGCCGGACGCTGTGCAGCAGGCGGTGAAGCCCATCGACGAGCAGGGCATTCTCTCGCTCTACCTCAACACGACGACGCGCGTGCTGCGGCTCACCCCCGTCAAGAACTACGCCGGCCCGGCCAATGTTGCCTTCACCGTGTGCGACACGGAGGGGCTGTGCACGAACATGACGCTGCACGTGAACGTGACGGCGGTCAACGACGTGCCGGCCGTTGCCGCGCTGCTTCAGACGCGCGTGCGGGAGGACACGCTTACCGTGCTGCCGTTCACGTCGTACGATGTGGAGGACTCTGCCTGCCCGCGCGATCCAATCAACACGCGCTACTGCCAGCTGCTGCAGGTACGGATTACAGCCCAGCCCTCGCACGGCATGGCGCGGCTGCTGCTGAGCAACGACACGTCGCTGCCGCTGGAGTTGCGATACAGCATCGAGTACAACCCGGACGAGCACTACTTTGGCGTTGACTCGCTCACCATTTCGTCGTGCGACAGCGATGGTGGCTGCTCAACGTCGGTTGTCACCATCACGGTGACGGCCGTTGACGACCCGATCATGCTCACCATCGAGCACGTGAACGTGAACGAGGACGAGGTGCTGACCCTCAACCTTCTCGGGTATGTGCAGGATGTGGACAATGTGGTCACCGCGGGTGGCATCAACATGACCCGCGCGCCGCTGTACGGCACAACGACCTACGACGACCAGACGGGCGTGTTTGTGTACGCACCGCTCCAGCACTACTTTGGCGAGGACAGCGTGACGTTTCTCTTGTGCAACGAGGCAGGCGACTGCGGCTCGGCCACCCTCAACATCACCGTGGTCAGCGTCAACGACGTGCCGGTCGTGCTCAACACGGACGTGGAGGTGTGGGAGGACAACACCATCGTGGTGGACCTGCTTGCGCTCACCAGCGACGTTGCCAACGAGATGGCAGGTGTGCTTCCCGACACCATCACCATCACCACGGCTCCGGCGTACGGGTCTGTCGCATACAACGCCAGCGCCACCCGCGTTCAGGAGAGCCGAGCAAGCACTGGTGCGACGGGTGCTGCGGCCGCCACAGCCCTGGCTGTGGAGGGCCCATATGGCACAGCCACGTACACGCCAAACCAGGACTACTTTGGCGAGGACCGCTTTGGGTTCACGGCGTGCGACGGCTCCGGTGCGTGCCGCAGTGGGTTTGTCTTCATCACCGTGCTTGCGGTGAACGACCGGCCACGTGTTGCGACGGGACAGCCGGACCCGCGCACCGGCGCTCCCACGGCAACAGCCATCCTGCCCTTCACCGCCGAAGAGGACACGCTGAATTTGCTGGCCGTGTACGCGCTGCACGACGATGTGGACTTTTCCGAGGACCACGTGCGGCCATCGCCGGATGACCTGGCTGCGTTTGCCAGTGGCGAGCGGCCAGACCTGTTCCTGACCGTCTATGACCCTCCGCTCCACGGTGAGGTGACCATGTACTCGTTCTTCGGCCTGGCAGGGTACCGCCCCAACACGGACTACGTTGGGCCGGACGCGTTTTCCTACCGCGTGTGCGACCCGTGCTCCACCACACGCAACGCTGAGTTTGGGCGCATTGCTCCCAGCACGGACCCGGCGTGCGTGCGGCAGCGCGTGGAGTACGGTGCCAGTGCTGTTGCTGGCGGGGATGACGATCTGGAGCTTGGGTGCACGATTGTGAACGTCACTGTGCAGGTGCGCAACGTGAACGACCGCCCCAACGCAGCAAACCTGGCGACGGTGGTGGAGCCAACGGGAACGGCCGTGTTTGCGCCGCTCGACAGCACGCGGGACATTGACGATGTGCAGTTTGCGCACGTGCACGCGCTGGTGGAGGCGACGGCTGGCAACGCCACGCTGCAGGTGCTGGAGGACGATTACAACCTGGTGACCGACGACGACATTGACGTTGCATCGGTGCAGGTGGTGGCACAGCCAAGCAGCGGCGCCCGGGCCGAGGTGGTGTATACGCACGATGCAGTGACCAACACAAGCGTGCCGACCATCGTGTACACGCCGCCCAACCACCCGTCACTGGCCGCCGCCAACAACAGCGACACGCTGTTCTTCGGCGCGGACGACTTTACATACTCCGTGTGCGACGTGCAGGGCGAGTGCGACCTGGCCACCATCACGGTGCACGTGGCATCGCCCACGCCGCAGATCACGTCTGTGCGCGCCCTGGGCGCGTGCGTCAACGGTGCGGACCTGATTGCCGGCATGTCACCCTCTGCACTGCGTCTGCGTGAGTCGCTCACGTGCGACCCTGACGGCGTGTTCACGGACGCCGGCTATGGCGACGGCGACCGCTTCCTCGTACAGTTTGACAGCGCCACCAACATGCCGCCATATGGGCGGGCCGGTGTTGGCCTCTTGGAAGAGGACGTGCTGCAGCTGTTTTCCTTCTCGCAGGCGCTCAAGCCCACCGCGGGCAGCGGCAGCGATGCTGACGTCAGCATCACTGGCGAATGGGTCGACCCCACCCTGTTTGTCATCACGGCGTCTGGCAGCATGGGTGCGTATGCGCCAGTGTTCTCAGCAACTGCGCTGAACATCAGCGTGCCCGGCACGCGCGATCGCCTGTGTGGGCAGTACGGCCACACCAGCGCAGCTCCCGGTATCATCACGGTGGAGGTGGACGACATGGAAGGCAAGGAGGACGCGGAGCTCACGCCAGCCCCCATCACCAGCGATGACGGCTCCATCGCGCTCAAGACAAACGTGGAACGCGACCCGTACTGCATCCTCTCTGCGGACGAGCTGTCCTTCCACGCAGCGAGCACCGTTGTCGGCGTCTCGGGCGACTTTGGCCTCACCCTGCCTGGCGTCATTGGCGTGGAGGTGACCAACCCGCCCCAGGTTGAGCCAGACTACCTTGGCCGCGGCACCGTGCTCTCCGTCGTGATGCAGCCTGCATTGCCCCTGGGTCTGCTGTACAAGCTCTGCTCCCGGGGCACGGCGGATGTGTTTGACCTGAGCGTGCTTGCAAGCAGCGCGGAGGCAACCCTCGACTGTAGTGTTGTGCTGGGCAGCGATGACTCTGAGGTCTCTGCCTCCATGACTGAGCGCGAGTACGCGTGCCAATTTGAGCCGCACACGCTCACCCGCGCCGAGCTGGCACAGTGCACCAACACCAACACCAACAACGATAACAACAGGCGCCGTCGCACCGCCAACAGCGGCTTTGCTGTCGGCGGTGATGATGATGGTGCTGATCGTGATAGCGGCCTGTTGTTGAGCGCACGGAAGCGCAGAGACGCCACGGCCACAACGACCGGAACGGCCACAACGACAACCACCAGCACCGCCGCCGCCACGACCAGCGTGACGGCCACGTCCAACAGACTGCGCCTGTACTTCACGTCTCTCAGCGGTCTGAAGCTGAAGCCGAGTGACGCCGGGTTTACGGAAGCCGTCGCTCGCATGCTCAACACCGACACGCTGCGGGCTGCCGTGCTCGGTGACACGTTTGGCGTGAGCGCCAGTGCCCTGGACACGTACACGACAAGCAGGGAGGATGCGCTGGTGGCGCTGTTTGAGCAGCTTGCGCTTGGGCTTCGCTACGTGGGCAACAACGTGGAGACGCCGATGCTCACGTCCGTGCACGCGTACCGCCCAACCGCCGCCTTCCTCAAGGCCACCGGTGCTGAGATGCTTGGCGAGCTGCAGCCTGGGTGCACGCTTGTGCTTGAGTTTGACCGCGACACCAACACGCCCTCAACATCACCGGCGTCATCCGTCGACCTCTATCCGTACCTCAGCGACAAGGCGGCGGCGGCGGCGCGCGCACAGGACCTGGAGAACACGGTGCTGGCGCTGTCACAGCGCGACGTGGACCGCCTGCTGACCTTTGAGCCGAGTCTCGGCAGCTTCTCCAGCGACACGAACCGCACGGAGGACGCGTATGTTGGGCGGTGGACGTCGTTGTCCACGCTTGAGATTGTCATCTTCTCCCCCAACACGGTGAGCCGTGCACTGATTGCGTCACCGCAGGCGCTGACGATTTCGTTCACGCCCACGTCGTCCGGCAACCCGTGCGTGGAGGACCCGTCCCCATGCACCACCGACGCCGACAACGGCAACTGGGGCATCTGCAACACGATGGGCACATCCTGCCGCGCGTACGAGGCATTTGCCGGGCAGAACATCACGGGGTCCTGGGCAACGGACGTCACACTTGGCGGGTCAACATCCACGGCAGTGGAGTCGTCATCGTACCTGTATCTGCTGCTGCTCGCCGTGCCCGCCATGGCTGTTGGCGCTGTCATTGTGTACAGGCGCTCGCGTCGGCAGCGCGACAAGAAGCGCATGGGCCGGCTGGTGAACAGGTGGCGGTCGATGCTGGGCACGGACCTGGTGGACAACCCCGTGCTGAAGACAACGTCCACAGACTGGTCGCGGCCACCCGGCATGACTGCCATGCGTGCACACTCGGACCCGTTCCTCACGGAGGGTGAGGGTGGTGACCCGTTTGCAGGGGGACAGCAGAAGCAGCAGGATGCGCAAGGCGTGCCCATGGCAGGCACGGGGCTGTATGACTCTGCGTTTGGGGACTCTGTGCCAAGGACAGAACCGTTTGCAGCGCAGCAGCGCATTGATGCCATTCTTCGCAGTCCAACGCAGCCAATGGGTGGTGCAGGCGCGCAGCAAGCACAACAGCAGCAGCAAGATGTGCTCAACACCAGCACTGTGGCAACACTCGGCAAGGGCAGCCGCATTGTTCTGCCGCCGCTGAGGAAGGGTGTGCAGCGTGTGCCATCCCTGCGCACGCTGGATGCAAGAGGTCAACAGCAGCAACAGCAGCAGCAGCCCAATGGTGCTGGTGCCGGTGCAAGCGTGCGTGATCTCCCACCACTCAAGCGCGCAACGCTCCGTGGCAGCCAGCGTCTGCCTGGCATTCCCGTTGGCCCACCTATGGAGCTGCCTCACATGACACCATCGCAACCACAGCAGGCACAGCAACAGCAGAAGGGCAATGCTCGCCTGCCACCGCTGCGTGCTGGCCCGGCCTCGTTTGCTCGCAAGCCCACGCTGCCGTCGTTCCCACAGGGCCCAGCACCTGGACAGCGTGTGATCCGGCCCGTTCGTCCACCGGGCATGGGCAACGACAGCGCGATGGGCGGAGGCGTTTCTGGACCAAACGCGTTTAAGCCGCGCTCCAACGCAGCGCTGCCGTCGATGGACCGGCGTTTCACGGACCCATTTGCAACTGCAGGCCCAGCAGCAGCAGCAGCAGCAGGCACCAACATCAACGGCAGCGATGTCACGACCACGGGCGCTGGTGGCGTCAAGGGCGGCGGTGGGGACGGCCAGCGCTCGACGTCTGGTTCCTCTGACCCGTTCCGCCGTCGACCATCGGTGCAGCGGCCACAGGTTCCCGGCAGCATCCGTCGCGCATCCCAGGGCAGCGGTGTTGCCGCGCAGCCGCCCATGCGCGTACCGTCGCTCAAGTCTGGTGCGCCGCCCCCCATGCGCATGCCGGAGATGTCGGGTCCGCGCCGCGTGAGCCTGCAGGCACCCAACCCATTGCGCAAGATGTCACGCCCCTCGGCAGACATGAGCCGCCCCGCAGCCGTACCAGGGATGCGTGTTGGTCCGGGCGCTGGCGCCGACCTTCCGAAATTGGCACGCCCAGGCGGCATGCCACGCCCAACGCGGCCCGTGGGCGGAGCACTGCCGTCCATGACGACACCAGGCGCAGCGATGATGAAACCTCGGAAGAACAGCAGCGACAGCGGCGAGGACAGCGGTGTGAGTGGCGCCGTCACGGGCGACACTGAGAGGAAGAGCAACAAGGCGAAGGTGCAGGATGCGATGAAGGATGCGAGCAGCACGGAGGACATGAGCTCGACCACAGATGATGGTGCGACATCGACCAGTGGCGACATGGACAACGGCTACGTTGTCGTAGAGGGTGCAGAGGGCGTTGAGACTGACGACGGTGCGCGGACACCGGAGGGCAGACTTGTGGTGGAGCTGAGCGACGTGGAAGGCAACGGCGGTGGTGGTGGTGGAACTTCAGACCGCGAATCAAAGGCTTGACATGGGTTTGGTGAGTGAGAGAGAGAGAGAGAGTGTGTGTGTGTGTGTTTTCGAGAAGAAGCGAGGGTCATAGAGTGGGCATAGATTTGTGCTGACACATGTGTTGGGGAAGGAGGGGCTGTTTGCGCACGTGAAGGGTGATGATGTTGAAGATGGTGAGGGTGAAGGGGCGGCGATGGTGCTTTGTGAGAATGTGCAGGGACATGAGAGTGAGGACATATGTGCGGTTTCAAGTGTGTCGTTGTTGCTGTGTTGTAGCGAGGGGACGGCATTGTGTATGTTTCTGACACGCAACTTGTTGGCAAGGGCATTTGAGCAGAGGAGCAGATGTCATTGATGGCACTACAAGTGTGGTTGCGAGGATGGTTGCGAAGATGGTTGCGAAGATGGTTGCGATGGGTGTGATGGTGTGTTTCTTCTTCTTCTCGGTGGTGGTGGGTGGTGGTGGTGAGCGTGAGCTTGATTCCACCTTTCAATTGCATTTGATGACGAATGAACGATGTTGAAAAATGTGTAATGGTTGTGCGGCAATCTGGGAGGGAGCACGGGCGGATATGTGCGTGTGCCGTTGTAGCAAGCAACACAAACAACATCCGGAAGGGAAGGAAGGGTCAGTCAAGCAAGGTAACTACAAGCTGCATGTGGGTTGGTTGGGGGGAAGTCACGTGGTTGGGGAAGATACATAGCAGGAAGGAAACAAGGATGAGAGGGTTGGCCTACGTCTTCATCTTCACGGCCGCCTTTCGCTCCTCCACGGTCACCTTGCGTGTGTGTGAGAGTGTGAGTGATGGAGTGTGGGTGTATAATGAGGTGTGTGTGTGTGTGTGTGTGTGTGTGTGTGTGTGTGTGTGTGTGTGTGTGAAAGAGAGAGAGAGTGTGTGTGTGAAAGTGTGTGTGTATGTGTGTCAAAGTGCGTGTGCCAAAGTTTGTGAGTGTCTGTGTGTTGCAGAGATTGCTGCGTGTGATGGCGACACCAACCTTGCTCTGGTCCAGCACCTCCAGCGTTGGTATTCTCGAGATGACATACAATCTGCAAAAAGAGGGAATGGCATGTGAGCACGTGCCTCGCAATGATTGTGCACCAAGTCAAAGCAACCACACACACACACACACACACACATACGAGATGCAGACGTTGTTGGGCACCTGTAGGCGTGATATTCGTCCTTTGTGCCGCCGTTGAAAAAGGAGGGCGCCGCTGGATTGTTCAGCATGGACAGCTCCTTCAGCTTTGGGAACTGTACCGCAACCTTGAGGCAGGGGCAGGAATCCGAGGCAAGTTGCAAGTAAGTTGCAGTAGTGTTGGTGTTTGTGTGCAAACAGCACCACACAATGGTTGCACGCACACATGGTTGCACACACACACACATGGTTGCACGCACACACACGTTTGTGCACACACAGCCTCGCATACACAGCTTCACACACACACACGTTTGTGCACACACAGCCTCGCATACACAGCTTCACACACACACATACACACACAGAGATGAACGCACACCTCCACCCCAAACACACCTTGTCGATGAAGATGACGAGGTTGTCAACCTCGTTGTTATTGAGCCAGAGACGCGTGAGGTGTGGTAGAAAAGGGAACTGCACGTGTGTGCCAATCTTGTTGTTGTCCAGCACGAGGGATTCCAGGTTGGTGAAGGTCTTGAGTGAATGCAGCTTGGAGACTCGGTTGTGTGACAGGTCCAGCGACTTGTATGGCGAGCCATCCACGTCCCTTGGAACGCCAGCCACATCCTGAAACGCCAAGCTCAAATGTGTCGACGGCGGCTGCTTCTTTCGCCTCAACATGGTCGCGTCCGTTGTCAGCAAGCAGGGGATGTGTGTGTGTGTGTGTGTGTGCGAATGAGCGAGCGGAAGGAACGTTGCTTGGTCGTGGTGAGTGTGTTGAGTGTGTGTGAGAGTGAGCGTTGCTTGCGCTGCTTGCGCTGTTGGTGTGTCCGGTGTGTTTGCTCTTTCCCTCCAACGGCGCTGCCGAAATGTACTTGAAAACATGCACAAATCCTCTACAATCGCCAATCCAAACAAAGGATGACGACGATGATGAGGACGCTGCTGGTTCGAGTGGCGGCGTGTGTGCTGGGGGTTATGGCAATGGTGGCGACAGCACACGCCAGCGATGGCAGCAGCACAGCGGAAGCAGACAACAACGCAGGTGGCATTCCCGACGTGTGGGAGATGGATGGCGCTCGGTTTGATTTGGCGGCCCTGAAGCTGGAAGTGTTTGCGGCCCCAATCGCCAGCGTCGGTGGATCGTCCCTACGACTCAGTGAGTGACATGGTTGGTTTCTTGGTGATTGGTATATGAGGACGTGGGGATGATCATGCGGCAGGCGAGGGATCAGGGAGATCCCGTACATATGCGCTGTCTCATGCACGCATACACGCATACGCACATACACTACACACATACACGCATACACACACACTCTACGCACATACACACACTCTACGCACATACACCCACACACATTCGCACACATATACACATCCACTTACGCACTTGCGCATCCACGCACACGCGCGTGTGCAGAGCTGGGAGGAGGGTTGCCATGCAAGACGATGGCGGGCCAGCCAGCACACCAGCGCCATTTTAGTGACGACTCGGCCACTGCCGCGTGCATGTTGGTGCCTGGGGTCCCACCAAACGTGGCAGCAAGCACGGCCGGTGCGCGCATCAGTCTCCTGGACGCCGGTAACCCCGGAATTGGCTTTGTCGTCAGCCTGCAAGGCGGCGACCACTGTGAGGTCGTCAAGCGAGGGCGCAAGCTTGACGCTCGCTTCCTCTGCGATCCAACAGGTGGGTGTACTGTTAACATGGATGGCTTTTGCTGTTATGTTGAGGCACAGTGCTCAACGCCCGCGCCTCACATGGCTTTGCCGTGTTTGGCTTATGTACAGGACTCAACGCCTGTGCCTTACACCCTGCAATACCACCCATTCACTCACACCCTCACAAATGGAATGGTTCACTTCTACAACTCCATCGTGACCACCTACCACAGGCGCCAGGCGCAGCGTGACGGCGTGGGAGGGCCAAGGCATGAATGTATGCCACTACGTCATGGAGATCAGAACGCAGCAGGCCTGTCCGGCACACACCACCTCGTACGCCAAACATTATTGCGGATGCTTGTTGTACTGGTGGCACTGTGCATGAATTCGCACATACGCTTACATGCTATGCATGTGTGTGTACCTGTGTGTGTGTGTGTGTGTGTGTGTGTGTGTGTGTGTGTGTGTGTGTGTCTTTGTTGGTGTTCGTGTGTGGTGTCCGCTTCTTGTGCATGGGGACTCCGACCACTCGTCATCGCCAGCGCTCGGCCGGTTGAACCGCTGCTGTCGGGCGTGAGCGGCTGTGCATCAGACACAGACACATCCACATCAGGTAGAGGCTGGAGTGCGGGCGAGAAGAGCGTTGGATGTGCGTGCGTGGCTATGTGTGTGTGTTGTGTGTGCGTGGTGTGTGCGTGGTGTGTGTGTGTGTGTGTGTGTGTGTGTGTGTGTGTGTGTGTGTGTGTGTGTGTGTGTGTGTGTGGCTATGTGTGTGTGTGTGTGTGCAATTGCCTCTGCCTTTCCCCAACCCTTCTATCTTCCCATGTTGCTCGGTGTTCCCTTTGCCCTGATGCCTCGGCAGCTGATGATGATTCCACGATGATTGTTGACACGTCCCATCATGCATCCCTCAGGCTGCAAGCAAGGCATGACACTCGTTGTGCATGGCCGCGGCTTCCAGCACAATGTGGCTGCTGCAGATGTGCTTATTGGTGACGCAACGTGCCTGAATACGCGCATCATGTCAAACTGGCAGTTGACATGCACGCTTCCAGACGTACCATCGCTTCACCCGGTAGAGTGGCGTGCTGTGTTGTGTGAACACAACACACGACACAACATGCTATGGTGTCTTGTCTTGTGTCTTGTGGAGGGAGTGCGTTCTCGCTGAACACCTTACCCCCCCCCCTACCTCCTTGCCAAACTACAGACGCTTGAGGTGCGATTGCATCATGCCGATGGTGAGCCCACGGTCCTTCGTGTTGAAAACGCCGTCACCTATGCGCCATCGCCACAACGCCTCCATCACCAATTCCAAACGTTTGAGGACTTGGGCGTGGGTGGACTCAACAAGGTGCGTGTGTGTTTGTATGTGTGTGTGTGTGTGTGTGCGTGTGTGCGTGTGTTTGCAGGTGTGTGTGTGTATTTGTGTGCGTGTGTTTGCAGGTGTGTGTGTGTGTGTGTGTGTGTGTGTGTGTGTGTGTGTGTGTGTGGCACAACACGAGCGAGCTAGGCCCGCATTCACGTATATTACTGCTGACGGACCCCACACGTGCATATCTGCATTCGTGGTTGCAGGAGATATCTGAGATTTACCGGCGCGTGTTCCAATCCCGCGCGCTCCCGTCAAACATCGTCTCCGCACTCGGCATCAAGCACATCAAAGGTTGGGCGTGCGTTATGCAGGCGTGTATGTGTGTCGTTGTGTGTGTGCATGCATGAGTGTATGCGCGCCGTTGTGTGTGTGCGTGCTTGTGTGTATGTGTGTGTGTGTGTCTGTCTGTCTGTCTATATGTCGGTCGGTCTTTCTGTGCTTGCGCATGTTTGTATCAGCGTCCGTGCATTGTGGGTGCTTCCAACTTTCAACGTGCGCTCGTGACACTGCTTTTCATGATGGACACCTTGCCTGCAGGCATTCTTCTCTACGGTCCACCGGGAAGCGGCAAGACGCTCGTTGCGCGGTGAGTGATATTTGTGTGTGTGTGTGTGTGTGTGTGTGTGTGTGTGTGTGTGTGTGTGTGTGTGTGTGTGTGTGTGTGTGTGT